CCTTTGTGAGAGTGCTCAGAGCAGCAGTGATTGGCGTGTCCTCTACGCTTGATTGATTTGAAAATATAGACAAGATGTCGCCCGTATGAAAGCTACCAATTTATAAGCCTTCATCTCAAAACTTCAGAGAGACACCGGCGCCATCAAAATCAGAGCAGGAGTTTGTAGCTACCAATGGTTCAGAAGTAGAAAAGCCCTGGCAAGCAAAGTGACACCTCGCTAAAGGCTGCCTGCTAGCTCTATAAATCCTCTCCCTTTGTATTCTCCTCCTGCCTCTTTCTTTTTTGTCCCTTTCTCTCTGACTTTGTCTCTTTCTCTGTTTGTCATCCACTTTCTGCCTTTGTCTAATGTTTCAGTCCCTCTATTCCCCTTTGCTGCGCGTCCCGCTTTATTCCGTGAGGCTGTGATGAGACACCCTGGAAGTTAACTTGTCCCACAGCTCGCTCCGAAAGGAATGACCTTGATGTAGCTCGCGCGCAGTTCGAGTTTGTGGTGTTTTTCTCGCCGCGTGACTCTTTGCATATTCTTGTTTGTGTTTGAGTTTCTGTGTCTCTGTAATCACTGAATTGTAAAACTATGTGTGAGAGCCTTATCGTGCCCAGGGAGCTTCTCAATTTTTTTCCCCCCCTCATTCCGTGCAGTGATAATTCTGTTTGGGAACTGTACCACGTCAAGAGATGGGCAGGGGAGAGGCACATGGAGGTACCATTTAGATAAAACAAATTGCCAGCTGCCGAGCAGGAGCAGTCACCTTTCAGATAAAAAAACCAAAGGGACTGCTGTGAGCAGCGGTGTGCATGTGCCCAAGATTTTGTGCATTTTCACATTTGTGTGTGACTGTGGTATCTAAAGGAGGTGTAGCTCTGTCCTTAGCCAGTAATCCAGGCTTTCCAGGCAGTCTTTTTCCATAACAAGTCACATAGCCATTTTCTCTGGCCTATAACTATAATGCTGTGATGGGACAAGCAGCAGTAATTAAAATCAATAGCCAGGACTTTTCCAGTCTCCGGCAAGGTCACGCGCTGCCCAGTAGAGAGAGAGAGAAGGAGAAACAGAAAGAAGTGGGATTGCATGAATGGGCAGAGCCAAATGGGGAAATATGTGGAGAGGTGAGGTGTCATCTTATTTTAATTAACCTGCACCTTGGAGGGCTGGCACTACTTTAATGCACTAGTGTGGGCACTAGGGGGTTGTACGAGTGTGCATGTGTCTGTCAGTGTGTCTAGTTTGTCCTTGCCAGCCATTACTTCGAGCCCATGTTACCACGCATGAATCAGGTTCCTTCGGGGGGTGGTGGTGGAGTAAAATAGTATATTTTTCTCCATGTTTTTTCAAGATTTACCATTTTCCTTTGTCCAGCTTTGAAGGCTGTAACATGACCCTGTGAGCCTGCTCCAGTAGGCAGAGTGGGTGTGGTGTAGCTAGCCACTAGCTGCATTTGTATTCTGCTGAGGACGCTGCATGCAGAGACATTTTCCTTTCGCCTCCTCTGAAGGAATAATCAGCCTTGCCTTTCACTCCCTTCTGCCTGAAAGAGGCTGAGTGATTTAGCTGGTTTTGTTTCAGTAGGTACCTGCAGGGACATCTTCAAGTGGTTGCATGTATGTGTGTTCACTGTAGCTTTCTGTGTAGGAACTTTGCCGAACCGGGTATATTAGGGGTTTGCACAAACATACGCATTTCTTGTTTGTCCTTCCTGCCCTCACTTTTCAGGCCTGAGTCAGAAAGAAAAGTCTTTTCTGTTAGAGTCAGCACAGAGCAGTCTGTCCTGTTTGTTGATTATCAGGTCCTGTTCCTATCGCAGCCCTGATAGCATCTCCATCTGATCTGTTGCCAGACTCGCTAGCTCACTAGCCAGCCCTGCCATCTCACAGCCGCTCCGCTGTTAGCCGCCACCCTTTCCTGTATATCGCCGTATCAGTCTCAGATCTGCCATCACCCTGCTCTCTCATCTTCTCCTTATCTCCTTATTCCACCTTTCTCCCTGCTCCCACTACCCCAAACCCACCAATCACTCATCGCCCTCATATTTTTCTTCTTTTTATCCTCCACTCTCAGAGCCTCTGCCAAAGCTCCTACGGCAGCACCGTTGTTCCCCATGCTTGGTCGTCTTTACAGAAACTGTCAAGGCAGAGTCAGTGAGTGACAGGACAAGACATGTGAGACTGGTACAAAGATGGAAAAAATGAAAGAGAAGAGAAGAAGAGGGAAACTTGTATGCTAAATTCTCCTCACCAAGTCTTAATAGTGAATACTAAACAAAAGAAAGAGAGGAAGACAAAGACAGACAGATGAAGAGCAGTAAAGGAAAACATGTTGAGTAGGCAGAGAAGTTTTGTGGACTGCAGCAGTGCTGTCCCGGACCCCATCGATCATCCTTAAGGTGCCAGGATCAGTCAGCTTTATTTAGCTCTAAGCCCAACATACACAGTGCACAAGCACAACACACAAACAACAGCACTTAGTATCACACGCGAAGCCCAAACGAGATGCTTACATGTTTCTAATGCCATTTTACTCTTCTAGCTTCTCACAAGCTCAAATCATAACTACAGACATAAAATATAAAAACCCGAAAACCATTGAAAAAAAAAAGATATATTACAATAAGGTCTTAGTCCTTTGTGTTCACAGAATGTCATTTTAATTACAGAGTTGGAACATGAGTTGGCCACATTTGAAAGTCACAGACATCATCTGTAGAAATTCTCAACTGACCCGACATCAAAATTAAGCTGTCTTGTTTTTGGCATATGTCATTTTTTCTTAATTTAGCAGGAGCGTCGGTGATGATTACCCTTCATTTTATACTCATGCTATAAAAGTGTCACTCAGGCTGATTATTGTTTTGAGTGAAATATCTTTATCTGCTGATTTTACCACAAATCATTTTTTTGTTTGCCTGCACTGGTTGATACAGAATCTGCTTATATTTGCCTCTTTTAAAATGCTACGTCAGGAATGCAGATTTAAAGCAAGTCTGAAAGAGAGACATAGTCGAATGTATCCAGTTAGTTTATAATTCATCAGTCTTTGTATTTATTTGCATTATATTGCTGGTGGCTTTTTATTGAATACCAAGTCTATGAGTTTTGTTACATTTTGTTATGTATGTAATTTTGCATTAAATCGCTGTGTTAACTAATTACCACAACCAGTTCTCTTTGTATTTTTTCACTGTTGGCTCTTAATTTTGTAGCTTCAATTATACAGTATCATGCAAAAGTCTTGCCACTCCCGTGTCTTCATATCTGCTGTGTGTTCTTAAATATTTGAGGAAAATTGACACGTGGGGAACAAAAGACAACGTGGCAGGCCTAAAAAAAACATCCACAGGAGATAAAAAGGGTCTGAAAGTCACAGAAATAGGAAAGAAACCCAGCAAATAGAAAAAGAAATCAAGAAAAGTACCGTCAGATTTTGATCCACCGTGCAATGACATCTGGAAAGAGTCTGATTGGCAACGGCTTCATTTTTCAGCACAACTACTCCAAAGACACTGGCAGTGCAGTTAAAGCATACCTGGATAGAAAAACACACTGAACGGTCTCATACATGGATTGGCCTCCTGTTGTTTACAGTTCTCGTTAGACTCTGTTTCTGTCCTATATGCACGCATGTATGTTTCAATAAATTGCTGCACCTATTTCTTATTTTCCTAGAAAAATATAAAGATATGACTTTTGCACATTACTGTATATTATAAAATTCTAGAGTTTGCCATAAACAAAACAGAAAAGTAATGCATTTCCAAGCAGATAATTACCAGCTGATATCCTCCTCATTCCTTCAGTTGTGTTCCTCCTTACCAGCTGAACTCTATTTCTCTGGAAGAAGACACGATGGCACATTGATGCAATTTCTGCATTATGATTTCTAAGTGCTCTGTATCCATTACTATACATGTCTCTGTTTTCTCGGAAAAGTGCTTTGGTCTCAGTGCTCCTCATATTTTTGCTTGCGGTTGAAATTGTCCAACAAGTTTTAATATTAGTCAAAGATAACCTGACTAAATACAAAATTCATTTTTTTAAATTATGATTTCATTAATTAATAAAGAAAAGTTATCCAGATCTACTTCGTCCTGTGTTAAGTCATGAATTAACTATGATTAACCACCTTTAAAAAAAGTTTCTCTGAACACACTGGCACTGGATTACTGGCAGACCTGTTAAATCAAGAAATAAAAGCCATTTTCCACCTGCGGAGAAAACTTGGAGCAGTGGTGAACCTTCCCAGGAGTGGCGGGCCGACCAAAATTACTCCAGGAACACGTAGACGACTCCCCCAAGAGTTCACAAAAGAGCCCAGAACAACATTAAAGAACTGCACTGTAAAATATGGTGGTGGTAGTTTGATGGTCTGGGACTGTTGTGCTGCCTTGGGACATGGAAGACTTGCTGTGGTAAATGGAACCATGAATTCTCCCGTCTACCAAAACATTCCGAAGGAGATGTTCGCCCATCGCTTCGTGATCTCAAGCTGAGGCGCACTTGGGTTCTGTAGCAGGTCAATGATCTAAAACACACCTGCAAGTCCACCTCTGAATGGCTTAAGAAAGTGTGGCCTAGACAAAGCCCTGACCTAAATCTGATTGACATGCTGTGGCATGACCTTAAAAATGCTGTAAATGCTCGAAAACCCTCTGATGTGGCTGAATTACAACAATTCTGCAAAGATGAGTGGGACAAAATTCCTCCACAATGCCGTAAAAGACTGATTGCCAGTTATCGCAAATGCTTGATCGCAGCTGTTGCTGTTAAGGGTAGACCCTCAGTGATTCGGTTTAGGGAGGCAATACCCTTTCTCATGTAGGTTTGGGGTTTTTTTCCACTTATTAATAAAACACACCTTCTTTTAGAAACGGCAGTTTTTGTTTACATGTGTTGTCTATCTGATCTGAAACATTTAAGTGTGACAAACATTCAAAAAATAGGAAATCAGCACTGTAAATGACCTTTCTGATTTCTCTGTATTGGGTTTATCTTTTGTCGTTGCAGGCAAAGGCTTCCTGCCAAAAATGTGTACTACTACCGCTGCCCTGACCACCGACGCAACTATGTCATGTCTTTTGCTTTTTGCTTTGACCGAGAGGACGACGTGTATCAGTTTGCCTACTGCTACCCCTACACCTACTCGAGACTGCAGCATTACCTGGCCAGCTTGGAGCGCAGGAACCTGCCTTACCTGCAGAGGGAACAACTGGGACTCAGTGTGGTAAGAGTTAGGAGCTGGAAAGTGCCGTGAGCAGCTGGAGGACAAAGTGTGTGAGGGGTGCTTGTGGTTATGGCTTGAGCAGAGAAGTCGAGTAGTGGTGAAAATTAGAGATGGAAGGGTTATAAGGCATCTTTTTTATGTGTGTTCAGATTAAGGAGGTCCAGATTGGTAACTCGGGTGTGCCTGCAGGTCATAACTTCAGCCTCTTGTGTTATTATTAGGATTGTTGCACTCTGAGATGACAGACTGTAAGCCTCTGGGTGTGTGTGTGTAAATGGCTGTGTGTGTAATCAGCAGAGCTCTCACCTCAGCAGTAGCAGCTAGTGTATCATAGATGCTGCCTCAAGTCTTGTCTGCTCTTATCAAATAATTGTAGGAGAAAAACTCATTAGAAATGCTTGAGAGATTACGACTTTTTCTTCTGTCCTCCAACATTTGTCAGGGAAAGCTTGCTGCAAGGGGTTACTATGAAAGTACAGGTATTTATAAGGAGCACCTGACCATGAAATGCAGAAAGGACTTTGAAAATTAGAAACCATGGCATGAAACAGCTGATAGTATGGTAAAAAAAAAAAAAAAGCAGCAGTAATATCTCTATAAACTAAAGATCTCTTGACCTACAATGATAATAACAGTGTGAAACTGGGTGTTTCATATTCTGATTATGGTAACATTTGTGGTAAGATCCTTCTGTGTAATTCCAGCGTTGACTTGGTGAGGTTATTCGGTGTAAAAGCTTACACTGATGTCAAAGAGAAACTCGCTGCTTTGATGTACGACTGTCAGCAATAGTGGGAAATAGTGAGACACTTTTGGGCCGTCGTTTCAGGATATGATTAATGATTGAGTCGTGATGATTCTAAAATAGATGACATAAATCTAGTGGGTTTCTTTTAACAGACTGGCACGGTTTAATCAAGCATTTATAACTGCATATGGCTGACTAGCATCAACGTCAACATTTAGCTAATTAGCCTGTCATTACATAATACAAGTTAGCAAAGCAGCTGTTCTACTTATCCTATATTTATACTAGTGCTGTTTACACAACACAAAACTTTTTCTAAATAAAACACAATTAAATAGACGCACAGTTAACATTGTGTTAACACGGAGTCCCTGCAGTTCGCTGCTGTGATCTTTGCATTTCTTTCCCATGTCACATAACCCTCCTCGTATGTCTGTGTTTTCTTGCATTGTTACGTAGATGCTTCACTCTGCGTAGTCAGTATCTCTTTGGTCGGTTTGCAACGGCTCTGGGTCAGGTTATCAACAAGGCGGTACGCTCGAATCATCACACAACACCTTGTGATTGCAGCTCTAAGTGGAGACCCATGTTTATAGCCCATTGCTGCCATGTCTAAATATAAGGATGTTTTTCATTGTTTGGAAAAAAAATATTAGCCCCCAAACTGGAGTCTTTCCACTATTAACAAGTACTTTAGGCGCCTAAAGTGATGCAAACATCAAGTGACATGGAAGGTAAACATGTAGTCATGTAAATAAGAACATTTTTCTATGCAGTCCTTTGAAAAACTTACTGTTTCCGTATGAATTTAGAGGGTAAGTAGCAGCCCGGAGAAAACCTTTTCTCTCTAAAAGAAACACCACAAATTTTGGACAGGCAAGTAAACAAAAGTGGAAATACCTGACTGTGTTGGATGAAAACCAAACACAAAACACCTCACACCAAGTGTCACACGGTGGTGGATGGGTTGTTGTGCTGCCACAGAACCTGGAGACCTTGGAGTCACTGATTCAACCATGAAATCTTCTTCTAATGTGAGGCCACTGTTACGGCCGAGAGGGCCAGGCTGTGGGTGTGGACTCAAATGCAGACACAGAGGGAGGCAAAACGGGCGTGAACACAGTGCTTTATTTACAGTGCCTAGTTAGGGGGTTGGGAAGCGCATCTGTAACCGGAAGGTCGCCGGTTCGATCCCCGGGCTCTCTGTCCTGGTCGTTGTGTCCTTGGGCAAGACACTTTACCCTACTGCCTACTGGTGTTGGCCAGAGGGGCCAACGGCGCGATATGGTAGCCTCGCTTCTGTCAGTCTGCCCCAGGGCAGCTGTGGCTACAACCGTAGCTTGCCTCCACCAGTGTGTGAATGCGAGAGTGAATGAATAGTGGTATTGTAAAGCGCTTTGGGTGCCTTGAAAAGCGCTATATAAATCCATTATTATTATTATTATTGTTAAATTACAGAGCAGGAAACTATGAATGCTATGAACTGTGGAAGCTATGAACTGAGAACTATGAGGCCAAACTATGAACATGAAACTCTGACTGAATGCTATGACTAGGTGCAAGATTTCATAGACGGATCCTGGGAATGGAAAAAGGGGCAGCGGCTTGGGTGGAGGTACACAGTCACTATAATGAGAAGAGACAGGCAGTCAGTGGCAGTCTAGTGAATCATAGCCGAAGGATTAGACTGTGGTGGTTAGGGCGTAGGTGTAGATACTGTAGGTTCAGTGAATGCTTAAATTGCATTGATTAGAATATGCTGGACATTCAAAGCTAAGATTCAGCGCACTGTGTTAGAGGCTGGGATTTGATGAATTCATCATATATACAACCTTTGATCATCATTTATGTCCAGTTGAGAATGAATCTGTGCACTCACATATTAAATGAACTGAAATCAGTAGTGTGATCTCCAGTCTTGATATAATGAATGAGAGAACTGACAGCTGTTATTTTAATCAGCCTGTCTCAGTTGATTTAACTCTAAGTATCACAAAGTAATGTGGTAACATCTGGACTGACGAGTTTACTGTCAGCATTTTAATCGCTAGTTTAAAGGCTGTAGGCTGCAGCCATTGCTCTAACACTGTATAAATGTAACAGGCCTCAGTGCTGGTTCTAATAGTCTGAGCTGCTTCCAGCTTTATTTGTAAAGAGCACAGCAGCTTACAACACACGTAGCTAGCTCGTACAGCGGCGACGTAAAATGTTCATAAGCTAAGATGACCTTAAAATAACGGGGCTACGCGCGGTGATGCTAGCGTTAGCCATGTTAGCACGTTATCTTCAACAGGTGGTCAGACTGCGTAAACAGGCACTCAGTCAGAGGTTGCGCTGCAGGGTCCCTTCATTCTTCACATATCCGTGTCGAGCCGAGTGTAAATCCCGAGGCTGAACGGCCTTTGTACAAGCACACACGCTTCTTAGCAGGCCGAAGCTATGAGCTAGCAAAATCCAGGCAGACAACCTGTGTCTGTCCAACCAATCAGAGAGCTCCTTACATCCGGTGTGGCTAATTTGAATAGCAGCAGGATTTTTAAAATGAAGTTGTTAATCCAACAGCTAATCCAAAAATTAATCCCTGAGCGAACAGGAAAGGGAAATGGATTTTGAAATGAGGAGTGGAATCGCCATTTTAAAAAGCATTTTGAAAATCACTTTATTAAAGTGCAATTCGAAAAAGGTTTTTGAAATGAAGATTTAAAAAGCATTTTAAAAATCAGTTTATTACATTGGAATTCAAAAATGAATTTACAAATGCAGAATTTATTCTACAATTCATTATTTAAGCACAGAATTCTTTATTTCTATGCGTGTGGCTCTTGTGGTCCCCCATATATACTATCCTTGTGTTGTGTGTAACACTGTGTAAGTACTAACTTATACAATTCAGCCTGTGCGCTTCACTGTTTTCGCTTCATTTTTAAGCGACTTGTTCTGCGAGCAAAACTGCAGCGAAAAGAAAGAGGGCAGGCTTGGTAGATTTGGCTCACAGGATCAGTATTAGTATTCATAGTCATTGAGACGTTTTATGACCATATTTTTCTCTTTATGTTCTCCGGTCCTGGGTGGCAGACAGCCTAGCCCCGCCCTCTCATACCCTTTTTTCTCCTGCCGTTACCTGCAATTGTCTCTCACAGACACATATGCTACTCCACACATACAGGTCAGGGAGAAAGGGATGAGAAGGGATGAGGAGAGCTTTCTGGCTGCATCAAAGTTTAAAGACGGATTGCTGTAATTTCCAAGGCAGAGTCTATGGAAACGACAGGGACACCACAATAGCTTTAACCTTCTAATGGGTACAGTTATCTCATAAGGATGGAAATAAGAGCCAGGGCCATTTGCACTGGCATTCTTCTATCTTGCTGACTAATTTGTTTTATGTAATGTATTCCTCTGAATAAAATCTCTGCCATCCAGCCGGCACTGGGAGCGTCAGATACTGTACCAAAAAAGCAGAAAAATTGTAGTTGTCTTCTTTCTTTTCCTTCTTTTTTTTTTTTTTTTTACCTCCAGCTCTTTTCATTATTAAGTGTTTACTGATTTATAAGACAGGTTGTTCTTCTTTTCTTTTCTTTTTTTTAACCCAAATCAGGTTTCACTAAAGCAGAGTGATTTGAATTTAATGTGTAAATTACATTGAACCAGACAGAATGTATTCCAGTTGAGGTGCACTGGAAAAGACAATTTAATTAAGAGAGAAAGCGAGAGATTGAAATAGAGGGACAGAGACTGAAAGAGAGATGTGGGATGAATGAAAAGGGCAAGCCTGGAGGATGTGAATATAACTTTGAGATACTCAGTTCTGAATTATTTTCACTTTCACCTAGTTTTTCGCCTGCTAATTAAGACCTTACAGTAATACTGGGATTCACCTAACTTTCCTTACTGCATATAATAGTGAATAGAAACTCCCTACACCTCCCGCGAGAAATTTCTTTACTGCACATCACCTGACATGATAAAAAAAACAATCCTATCATCTTGTTTCTTTTTATCATCATTAAAAGCAAAAGAGAACGCGAACAGTTATTATCTTAACATTGGAGTCTGGAAAATCCCTTAAAGTCTCCCTAATCGACTTTAAACGGTAGATATTTACTACATGTATTTAGCTACATTGTAATAAAATATAATACAGCTTTGTTTTGGTTTTTTTGCAAGCATGTTTGTCAGAATCTCTTGTTTGTGCTTCCTTCCTACCGTATCTTACATATTAGCAAAGCCGTTCAATCTTGTTTTTTTCCAT